AGGTGCCTTTTATACAGGTAATAAGCTGAGATTAGGAGCACTCCCTTTAAGAATGTGTTCATAATCTCAGCTCGTTACCTGTATAAAAGTCACCTGGGAGCCAGAAATCCTTCTGATTGAGAGGGGGTCAAATACTTATTTCCTTCATTAAAATGCAAATCAATTTATAACATTATTGACATGCGTTTTTCTGCATTTTGTTGTTGTTATTCTGTCTCTCACTGTTCAAATAAACCTACCATTAAAATTATAGACTGATCATTTCTTTGTCAGTGGGCAAACGTACAAAATCAGCAGGGGATCAAATACTTTTTTTCCCTCACTGTACGTGCAAGTGGCTTCATGGAGAAAACTGGAATGCGCTGAGGCTTTCTCCACCAAACATTGGAGGGGGAGGGGGGGACGCAGCCCATGCGAGTTTTCATGACAACTTGCCTGGTGCTAGCCCAGCACCGGTGCGTTTTGTGTTCCAATTTAAAAAAAATCGGTAATTACCGATTATCCCACCTGCATGCGTCACGCAGAGATGGGGCTGCGGTGCCCGTGCAACCCCCGCAATTGGGAGCGACGAGGTCACTGTAGGATGCAGCACAGCAGGTAGATCTTTATAATGTTACATTGGTTTTTTTTTCTCTTCGCATTGCGTGGGGTTTTTCCCCCAAGTTCTTCCTTAACTTTCCCCACGCGCGAAAACGAAACGAAATCGTCCAAAGCATCCCGAGCAGTACCGTCACGAGGCTTTCCTGGAATAACAAAGAATGACAGTTTATTTTTATTTTTTTACTGCTACGATTAGCGTATACTCTGTTCAAAATATAATACCGTGCTATTTTCGTGTACACGGTGTGCGGTACTTGGGCGCGATGGAACGATGTAAGCCAATAATAGGCCTCAATACACGTGGTGGGATGGGGGGGGGGGCTCGCCAGTGGGGGCGGGAGCCGGGAGGGGGGTGTCTGGGCCGAGCCCCCCACAGAGGCCGATGTCACTCTGGTCATGGTCAGGCTGCGTGTCCGCAACCTCCAACCACACACACACACATGAACCAAGCTCAATTCCCGCTCACGGCCAACACCAGTGACGATTTTCTGGACCGGTTCCTGGGCCTCTTCTAGGTCGACTCAGCCTCAAATGAGTACCCTGGTGTAGTGTGTAAACTTTGCACCTGGGGAGACAAATGCGTGGTACTGGCCATCCACTCCCTCGTGTGCCGTGCCGGCCCTCATTGTTGCTCGCTAACAGCACTTGCCCCAACAGTCTGTGGAGGCTATACGGGGGACATTTGTCTTTGTTGTTCCCCGATGCAACGCGACACTGTTTACTGAGCCGAGCCCCGCGCCCTTGTCCCTATTTATAATGATACGGGGCACATGTTTCAGTCGGGAAGGGCCGCAGCCCACCCACGCGCTATCGGATCCTCACGTCCACACACGACCGTGCAGGCGGCGTTCATTGTGCTTCTAATGCCCAGCACGTGCTGCGCGTCCAGTATTTCAGTGCTATAGGCTTACTATAGTGAGCCTCGTCCTACACAGACACACTGGTGCCCCCCACGCACCGGTCGTGAGCTCACTCACCTTTGTGCGCGGTTCTACGGAGCTGGTCGCATGGGTGAGCAGAAACCTCCTTGCTGTGTTGGCCATTGATGGGACCTCGTTTCACTGCGGATGCGTGGCTCATTGATTCTGTGTGATTCACCAACCGCGCTTGCAAGTTGCTGGATTGCAGGTGAGCGTCGTGGCCACCACGTGTGGCCCGTTTATAGTTTAGAAGAAATTATATTTCCAAAATATTTAACCCATTATGTATTACTCTGTTATTGGGCAGTGTTAATGACTAAAATGGCAAGGTTATATTTAATTTGTGCTTCTGTACTGGGTCCAACGAAGTCCCAATTTTAAAGCCACGTTATTGCTTTCTTCTTCTGAATATCACAATTGGCAGAATTGATGTTCGTAACTATTTTCCACTCTATACTTGATTGACTTTTTATGCACTAACCAGAAGGGTGGCTTGGAATGCCAATTATTTAACCCATAAAAGCCTCACTGAGTCTCAAGGCCGTTTTGAGGGGTGTCCTGCATTGGGATGGTTGACCAATTCCATGAGTGAGAGTTGTGCTTCATGTGGGATGAAACCAGAATACCAAAAGAAACCCCACCATGCATACGAACGGGTGACGTTCAGCTCTGCCACCATCTACAGCCCTGGTGGACACCTTTCTCAGAACTATCCATGCTCAGCTCTGCTTAGCCTCCGAGGTCTGGCACAATTAGGCAAATTTTGTCGTCGGCGTATGTCTATGATCACCGGCACATTTAATCCGATAATTAACGTCTGAAAATAACGGCGCTCATTCAATTCGAGGACTCGTCGCGTGGATGAATGTGAAAGAAATAAGCCATCTCCTGATGAATTTGGCACAGCAGAGCGAAAATGGAGTCAAACTCACAATCGCAGCTCGCGAATGCTCTTACCTCCCTCCTGACCGCCAGTGTTTAGACAAAGAGCCGAAGCTTGAAGGGCAATGGGGATAACGCGATACCTGACAACGTGATACGCACGCGTGCGTCTGACCTGTGCGGAGGCGCGTTGCAGGGTTCGAGTTACCGGAGCCAGTGCCAGGTCAGCGGTACCGTGTCGTCTGTGCACGCTGCGCTCCCTCTCCCGAGACGATCAAATGAGCCCTTGCGGGCTTAAGGGTTGTAAACCCACGCAATGTTACGTGGAGTGATGCAGCAGCCTCGCTTAGCATGCACGACGCGCACAGCACGCAGGTTCAAGTGACGCTAAGCCTGGGTACATGAGTTTGAATTCGGTCATGGCGCTTCTGCGGCCGTCTGGAAAGCTCTTCCGTCCGACATTAGGAAGCCACTGAAGATGTGCACTTTTAAATCAACTAGATTGAAAACGGATTTATTTAGAACCGCTTGTTGTGATTAGTTTGTTGTCCTTCCCCCGCACCTCCGATACGTGGCGAAAGATCTTCAACATACCTACGTACATCAGCCACGGACTATCCACTGCTGACGGAAGGCGTGCATTCGTACGCCGTCGCAATCCACCATGGTCCTGCGATGCCACAATACGTCTGGCTCATCACCCCATCTCCGCCGTGGTCATCCTCTCGAGCGTGTTGCCTCCGCTGACTGCCACTCTGTCACCTGTGTCGTCCATGAAGCATCATACATTCTAGCCACGATGTGTTCTGCACAAGCCCACTTACTATTTTTTTTTACTGTCAATACCACGTCTCTGATTTGCGTTTTTTTCTCAGATCCACGTGTCCCTCCTTCTTGTGTCATTTCAACCATTTGGCTCGAAATGCTTCACCGATTACTTTTAAGCTTTCGCTCCATTGTATTTGATCGACGAGTTTAAATACTGTACTGGTTTTACATTTTGGTCAGAGGATACGTCTCTCCCGTATATGTGAGTGTGACCAGGATGTCGGGAGCTTCTCTCGCTGCTCGAACGGCACTCTCGGGCTGAGTTTGCGGAAGTTTGTTTTGGTCCAGCGCAGCCAACTCAGCTGAAGTCTCCTAAACCTCTCCACCAATAAATACGAAGGAATAAAACATTAAACACAAACATTGGCATCTGATTCGCCTTAACTTTCCTGGTAATACGCCACGTAGAAATGTCAAGTCCCCCTTCCGTGCGCCTGTGAGAAGACTTGCGTGTCAATATTTTTCAGCAGAATGTTTTTAGCAGCCAACCCCCGGAACGGTTTGAGCTTCTCCGAGTCTCATCTGCAGGGAGGAGCAGTGAGTGGTCTGTTCGATAAATGTTGCACGGGTGTTATAGGTTAGAGCAGTGGTTCTTAATGGGCCGTCCATAAATGACGTCACGCACCTACGGGTGGGGGGGGGGTCAGACATTTGTGACGATGTGTGACGAGGGGGGGGGGGGTTTGAGAAATGAGACGCCACATCAAAATGCGCAAATTTAAATAAATATAGAATCGTTAGAACAATACTAATTGTTATAACAACACTCCTACAACATCAGAGTGCAGCGCCACATTAAATACGCACTGCAATGACAATAGTTTAAAGCGCTTTGAAGCATGTATTATTTTCAAAATGGAAATATGGTTTTGTGGGGGGGGGGGGGGGGGGGGGGCAGAGCTTTGTGACGTCATATTTGAGAGGGGGGGTCTGACTTTTTGTGACGCCGTGTGACGAGGGGGGCGGGGTCAAAAATCGTCCAAAATCGCGTGACGTCATTTATGGACGAGATGCCCTTTCTGAGAAGCAGAGGGGGGTGCAGGCTGCAGTGAAGGTTAAGAAGCACTGGGCTAGAGCCCTCCCGCCAACACACGTCAATGTTAAATTTTGATTTAAAGCTTTCGTGACTGCAGTAATGTATATTCTTAGCTCTTTCGGTAAAGTCACGTTGAAGGGAAACAATAAAATAATAAAATATATATTAAACAATAAAATATTCTCACGACGTTTCGACCATAACACAAACGGTCGTCATCAGGTGTGTCGGTTTGTGTTATGGTCGAAACGTCGTGCGAATTTTTTATTGTTTTTATTTTTTTATTTTATTGTTTCCCTTCAACGTGACTTTACCGAAAGAGCTAAGAATATGAATACACGTCAATGTTGTTACACTTGTCCATTTCACAGCGGGAAAGAAATTGCTGCAGAAATGCCCTCTTACTGCTCCCCCCCACCCTCCCCCTGTTGTCACAGGTCTCCCTCGCGAAAGAGAATGGCCACATCCGTGGGTTGTCACCTCGATGAATGAAGAGGTTAGCGAACCGATGAGCCACCATTACGCGCACCTTCTCTGCCTGTTCGTTGTTATCGTTCTGACGTATTGCCCGGCGCGGTTGGCACCGTTGAACTTGCCTTGCCTCACGGGAGGGAGCTACACGGGCAGTCGCGAGGAGGGAGCAAGAAGCAGTCGGAGGAAATGGTGCAGGCAGGAGCGCAGGAGCAGGCAGTAGAGAGGAGGATGATGGGGGGGGGGGGGGCAGGGAGGGGCATGAGAGGGGGTAGCTGTGTCCGGGCGCGGCTGTGGCGCCGTTCCGCGACTCGCGGGGTCACGGCCTCCCCTGTTGCTCCTCCTCGCTCGGGGCTGGGCAATTCGGCTTCCTGCGGTGAGCGAGCGAGCGAGACGGGATCCTTCTCTCTCCCACACCGAGCGAGAGAGCGAGAGAGCGAGATCCTTTCCCCAATACCCCGACGAGAGCGCCGTCTGGCATCCACAGCTGGAGGCTCTTCACTCTCCTGGCCGAGCGGGTGCCACCCCCTCCCCGAACCCAGCCGCACTCCAAGCGAGAGTCCCCCTCGCTCTGCTCACCCCGCGGGCTCTCGGCGCTCCTCGACACCCGGCGAGAACGCAGCTATCACGATGATGCGCCTGGAGGGGCAGCGGGTCTCGGCGCTCGGCGAGCGCGGAGTCCCGTGCGGGGACAAACCGCGCACTGCGTAAAAAGTCGCCGAAATCCACCGCGCTCCCTCCCGCCCAAGGTCCCCCATCCCCCCCTCCCTCCCCCCCCCCGCGTGGAGAGAGAAGCCGGGCGGGAAAGGTTGGAACCGCCGAGTGCAATCGCGTCCCGACCCACTTCGGTTCGGCTTGGTCCGGAGCGCGCCCCCCCCCCCCGCACGCTGGGGGGTGGGTGGGGAGGTCAATGGCGAGGAGGGCGGACGCGCGCAGCCTCATCCGCCTCCGACAGTCGGACGAGGGCGATGGGGGCCCGGGCGGGGGAATCGTCGAGGCAGGGTCCACGGGGGTCGCTCAACGCTCGCCCGAGCTGCTCAAGTGCGTGGTGGTGGGAGACGGGGCCGTGGGCAAGACGTGCCTCATCATGAGCTACGCCAACGACGCCTTCCCGGAACAGTACGTGCCAACCGTGTTCGACCACTACGCAGGTACGGCCACTTCCACGGCCTCCAAGCCTGGCACTTGGGGACGATCACCTCGCCCGTGCGGAATGGTCGTCTGGTCGATAGGAATCTCCCAAAAGCCCCAAAATCACCAGCCCCTGTGTATAGTCACCTGTCCCATTGTGCAGCCGTCCACGTAGAATCGCCTGGTCCACGTCGTCATCACCCGCGCTGCCGTGGCGTTCGCGCGGCCACGCGCGACCTGCACGACGAGCGCGCTGTCGATGCGCTTAAATCGTCCGCAGTCTCTTGAATTTGGGTCTGGTGGCTTCGTGTCCTCCCAGGGGGAGTCCCGAGCACGACGTGTCGTCACCTCAAGGTCCTCGCGGACACGCGGTGTCCTCACCACGCCTGAGTGGTCCCATTGTGATTGGTTGATGCACGCGATTTAAAGAAAAATGTAGTTGTTGTGCAGTATGTTCTTAGTTACCGTGACTGCAGCATCGTCATCATTGTGGATTGTACGATCTTGTCCATCCCGTCCTTACGCTTGGTATTTAAAAAAAACCCCAGCATTATACATGTAAATGTGATGGTAATACTGTCATAAAATGAGCCCTACCAACCCCGGGATATTGCGTAACGTGATTGTGTGTATATCATGATTTATGGGATTACGTGCATTACAAATGGAAATGGTGTATAAAGATTTGGTCGGAACAACATTCTATAGATGTGCTATGAAGAAGGACGGAAGGATCATTACCTGAAACGTCGCAAATTGTATATATTTTCTATTAAGGCATTGTTGTTAACGGGTGTGTTGATTTGTTTTTCTATGGATGATGTCATTCAAGTCTAACCGGGATTATTTGTAGATATTGAACACACTGATCTAATTAATGTTTTCCCTCATGTTTCCTACACACACAAAATCAGAAACGTCGTTTCTAAATTAAAATCCATTACGGTAAATAACTTTTAATGTATCGTTACCTTCCCTCACAAATCAGATTTTCCACAGATGAAAATTACATACCTTAAGCTATTTAGCACACTATATATCCCTAAAATAAATATTATAAACAATGTATATAATGGTATTTTTAATTGCTAAACATATGTCAGCCACAGTTTCATTTAACACTTTGTTGCTCAACGTTTTGCTGAGTCTCACTCCTCGAATAGCACCACACCTCCCGGTAAAATCGTCATCAAATTATGTAAATAATATATTATAAACGCAACACATTCGTTAACAACATTGCCTTAAAGAAATATATGTATACATATCATAAGCGACGTTTCATGTGACTGCCCCTTCATAGCATATAAAGGAGGGCCATTGCCCGAAACGTCACCTATTATGTATCATTTTAAAGGCAGTATTATTGATGAATGTGGCGACTTAATGTTGTTTGTATTAATTGTGCTTCTGCGCCACGTAACATCACCAAATCATGTAAATAATGACTCGCAACACTAAGAATATGTTAATTACACGCTAATGACCTGCCTGACACAGCACAGAGAGGTTCGCAAGGTGATGGAGACAGAATGAGACGTACAATACGAGATAAATAAATAAAAATATTGATGAACGAAAAGTAAAAAAAAAGAGGACAGACGAGATAATGCAAAGAAGACAGCACCGGACGTGAAAGTAATCACGGCAGACAGAACAGTGCACAAGATAGTACAACACAAGCGGCACATACAGCAGAGACGAGATAAAATATAGGGCACAAGCAGGTACACGCGAGACATTACAGACACGGGAACACACAGCCGTCGTGTGTGCTCCCCTCAATGCAGACGAGAGGGCGACACGGGAATACATTCGGCCGATGTGCAGCGACAGCTTTATGTTAATTGCTGAAATGAACAAAAAAAATATTGCTGTTTCTCCAATTCAAAGGGGATTCCAACGTATTTGTGTTCTACATTGGCCTGACTAATGGTGTCGTACACATATATTGAACGCGAATAATCACGAATTGACTCGAATAGATTAGATTACACAAGAGGATTTACATGAAAAAGATCCTCCAATGCAATATTATAATGGACACCCACTCTTTGATGTGATTCATAGAATCACCAGGGAGCTCACACTTCGTTCTGCTCCCACTTTCGAGCCCAATGGCAATTTCTACACCGAATACATATTTACAAATGATCGCGCCCTTGACAACCCGTCACGCCTGCGAAAGCGTTAAACAAAACAGAAAAGGCAGTTGGTTCGCTTTAACACGTAGGATTTCGCGACCAAAATTATTCATAATAAAGTTTTTTTTGGGTTAGATCACGTAAGTATAAATGTGTCGTAACCCTCCACCATCCTACACAGCCAATTAGTAATGGATTAGTCACGTAAGCAAAACGCCAAATAGTTACTACTTCAGCCCACTGGTGTTGGAGAGTAAATCCACAACATTTATTATTTGAGTACGACGTTTCGCTGGTAATTACATCCAGCATCATCTGGCGATTTTCCAGAATATTAAGAAAGTACAGTTGTATACAGGACTTATAAAGTGGCACTTTTTTGTTTCCAAAATGGCAATCTTTTATTGCGTTTGGAGCATCGTGCCGTGCGAGATTCCTGGGCAGCTGTCCCTCGCCCCTGTCGCCGCATTCCTCTCCCCAGCGGAGAGATGAGCCGTCATTGCTATACCGTCACACATTGCTCCATGCACCAATAGCAATTACACCCAGAGTGCCAACTCACGCTCACTTGCCACGGGTGACCGATTGGCGAATCGAGGATTAAAATATTGAAAAGGGCACTGCTCGCTATAACCAAAATAATCTCGCGTCCCGATCGACCGTCGATCATCTATCGGAGGCCGTTTATGATGATTCTCACACCGCAATGCTCACAAGAAGACCTGTCGATGAAATTAGAATTGATGGATATTCATTTGGTTATTTACAAACGCACGTAAGACCGCGTGAAAGACGAGGGCACAGAGGCATCTGTCACTGCTCATCGATGCAAATCGCCTTCACTACTGCATTGTAAAGATCGCGTTTCTCTCCGCAGTGAATGTGAAAGTTGGTGGAAGTTGCTATCTCCTGGGTCTCTATGACACGGCGGGACAGGTGGGTACTGCAGATTACTCGCATCGGGCTCCTCGAGGAGTTGCCGGTCTCAATACGCCGCACCGCGAACTGCACTGGGGGTGAGAGAGCGAGAGAGAGAGAGGAGGAGGAGGAGGGGGTGGGGGTGCCGGAATTCCTCCGCTGCTCGCTCGACTTCCCGAGAAGAGCGTGTGACGTGGCGGCGGCGGCAGACACAATGTGTGCTATTCATAGCTTGGCACGGACGAGAGAGGGCCCCGGCCAATTACGCACGGCCCCTAGACCGCATGCCCATGTGCCGCACCGCCCGCCAGCCACCCCCCTCCCACTGTCGTCCACCACCCGTTAACAAACAAAAAACTCCCAGATTTGTTTTTCATCTGTAAAATATTTGCTAACCCGGACGTTAATATTTGCCGCGGAGGTATTTTGCTATATGGTGCTATGCCATTTGCAAAATGCCAAATGCCATTTTCGCACAAGGAATATTGGCAGGAATTAATACATGTGCAGGCATGATTCATTATTTTGAAATAAATATCCGTAGAGACAGGTATAATTTAACATTTTAATGGCTATATATACATATATACGTTGCTACTGCTTTCACTGTTAAAACTTTCAATGTGTGAACTTTTATTCCATATTATAGGAAATTGAAATATAAAATACAAACAACAAACTCATACTCTTTGGTTCTTTCGGTCAAATCACGGAAAAAGAAATTAAATTAAATAATAATTATTTAAAGAAATTTTATAATAATTGTTATTTAATTTTTTTCTAATAATTATTATTCTTTTAATTAAATTTATTTCTACGTGACTTTACCGAAATAACCAAAGAGTAATTCCTGCAAACACGAAATCTTCGAATATAACACACTCATACTGCATGGCAATTCTGAGACATATGGTGGACACATTCTGTATTCCATTTGTAAACGTTATGTATGTTTTTGTAACAATCAAAATCATTTGAATGCTACTGATTGTTGCAGAGTTAGTCGATTAACAGGGCATATGTGCTAGGGTAAGTCGTGAATACTCTCACCTCTTTCAAGACGTCAGCCCAGCACGGAAGAGTATGCCACAAACCATTAAGGGAGGTGCTCAACTAAAGCTCCCCCTACTAGAGTCCTTTCTTCTTCCAGCAGTGGCATGAGCAAGCAATTGCAGGGCTGCACCTTGACCTTTGCTGGAGTACACGTCCTAACAAAATTAAAACACAAGGCACCAGACAGTTCATAACCCACACTTCCTTCGTGGTCTCCGCGTGCAGGAGGACTATCACCAGCTCCGGCCTCTCTCGTACCCGAACACGGACATGTTCATGATCTGCTTCTCAGTGGTGAACCCGGCCTCCTACCACAACGTCAAGGAGGAGTGGGTCCCAGAGCTGAGGGCCTGCTGTCCCGATGTGCCCTACCTCCTGGTCGGCACGCAGGCAAGTCCTGGGCACAAAGCCAACGAAACGCAGAGACAAAGCTCTCGAGTGCAGCTCACCACACAAAGCCGGCCTGCTCACGTACTAACCTGCCGACCAGGGAAAAAATGGGAATTGTGTCCATAATTATACACCGCTACAACTGCATGTTTCCGAAAAAGAGTGATTAGCCTTAAGTGAATTAAGACCATACAAAAGTATGTGCATATCTAACGTTTGTTTGTAAATGTGTTTAATGGTTAACTGATTTTTTTGGTGCAAATCAGAAGCACTCTTTACAATTTGGTATAATCCATATCTATACAGCGTTTCACATGGCCGTTGTTTTGTTTGTAAACGATGCCTTCAGATTGATCTGCGAGATGCAACCAAAACCCTCATGAGACTAAAAGAGCTGAAGGAGAAGCCCATGACTCACCAACAAGGAGTGAAGCTCGCAAAGCAGGTAGGCGCACAGAGGACGCTTATGTGCTGGGAAATGATACAATCTCAAGAGGCATTACCGTGCCCTTCACCGCGCAACACTGCCGCCCAGTGATGTGGGGGATACGGTAGGGATCGATATCGCGCTCTCATTGCGGATGTAGTTTGATTCCATTTTAAGGGTCATGTAAAAATGATTGCATTCACCCCTTGGTTCATCTCACCACTCGATGGGAAGGCAGCAGTGGTTGTCGTATGGATAAATTCATCCCCCTGCCACAGGAATGTGGATTTTCCACCGCTGCCTTAAGGCAGTTAACGGGGATGATTGCAGCCTAACTCTTGCCTAATTTCATCCTTCAGATAGGTGCGCACTGCTACTTGGAGTGCTCGGCGCTCACTCAGAAGGGGCTCAAGGCTGTGTTTGACGAGGCCATCCTGACCATTCTGCAGAGGAAAAAATGCAAGCGCTCGACGCGTTGCCGCTGCTGCACCATCACGTGAGTTGGCCCACGTCCGCGCCAAGGATTGTCGGCGGAACACGGACAAGTGCAGACGCCGTAGGAGGTGGCAATTTTTTTGACAATCCGAGTAGCGCTAAGCTGGAGTTGAAGCTTCTCAAGCCGATCACAGTATTTAACAAGATTCGATGCCTGCACCGTGAGCAGTGAATGCTCGGCTTTTAAAAAGCTCTAAAAGATGAGAAGTTCATCAAAGGTTGATTTAAACCCGGGAAAAGAAGACGATGCATAGAGCTCATATCATTTTAATTAAACCCTTGGTAATAGCCTGTGTGAGTTTCATTTTTACAAATTAAACATTTAAATCTGAATATTTAAAATATGGTGTATGTGTTGTGCTTCTACATGACTTGACATTGATATATGTACAAGAGCTGTTGGAGTTTCAAGGTTTTACTTTGACATCTGAAAATGTTATATTGTAACGTTTTTTTTTAATCTGATATTTTATTCAGTATTCAATTTTACGAGAAACTGTATGCTCTTTTTACTTAGCATATGGCGTTGTTTTAACAGCACATTATTTGAGACTTTTTCGAAGGAAATTAAAATTCCATTGGAACTTTTTTCGATGTATTTGACAATAGAGTTTTACAATGCAATCATTTAAATAAAACGCCCTTGTTATTTGAAAATGACGTGATGTGCTCGTGAAGCGATATTATCGATCCAGGGCTGAGTGCATTTATCTGTGCACATTTTATGCAATGCGATGTTAAAAAATAAATCCTCTATTTTTTTGTAGAATCAAATGTTTTGTGCCGTGGTGCCTTTGATACCTTTGTAAGGAGCTGTTTCTCCTCGAAGAAGAGCTTGGAAGCCAGTGCAAGTGAAAATAAAGTTATATTTTATACGTATCGTGACACTTATGCGTTTAAATTTTGATTTAAAGCTTTCGTGACTGCAGGGATTCATCTTCTTGGTTCTTTCGGTAAAGTCACGTAGAATAGAAATAAAATAATAAAAATAAAACATAATACATTTTATTTGAGACTCATGCATTTGTGTTTTAATGATCCATCAAACCAGTGGTTCTTAACCTTGACTGCAGCCTTGCACCCCTTTGGTTCTCAATCGTAAAAAAAAAATGTTAGTAAATACATCAGTTTGATGAAACAAAGTAGTTGTACTTACGTGCCCGTGTTTAATTTGTGTTTCGATGATTTACCTTCTAAAACAATCTGTGCCACGTGTCTCGCACTCCCATGAAGGGCACCCCAGGTTAAAACCCACTGCATTAAACGATTAAGTTTTGAAATAAAAATAAAGACAATGAAAACACAACAATAATTAAGCCACTTTCTGGCGTGTAGATTGCTGCCGTGTTTGTCAATGTCACCATAACACGCCGCTGATGCTGTTGTTTGTTATTTTGCTCATGCTTTGCAATATTACAACTCGGTGCTGTGCTGCCGTACAGGCCTCTTTCTATGATCCTGTCGCTTTGCCAATGCGCCATTGAACTTGAGTGAAGCCGCTCTCCGACCCTCGAGGGGTTTCTCGTGTCAAGTGCTCTCTGCAGCCGGCGCTAAAGGGCGCGTTCCCTGGGTTCTTTTGTCTTCGGATGTTCACCGGTCACTCTTGGCGCGGCACCTCCTTAGCCCTGATGTTGCCGCCGCCGCCGCCGCCGCTACCGCCGTCGTCGTTGATGCGCCTTCTCCGTCGACCGTGAACGACTGCGTTCTCTTTGGTTCTATTGGGTAAAGTCACGTAGGTAAAAAAATAAAAACAAAAAAATAACAAAAATCACCTACGTGACTTTACCCAATAGAACCAAAGAGTATGGATCCTTGCAGTCACGAAAGCTTTAAATCTAGAAACGACTGCGTTGTTGTGACACAGCGGCAGCCCCACCGCTGCTACACGTGCTCAGCACAAATGAGACTTTCGACCGCGCCCCCCCCCCCCCGCCGCAGCTCGTTAAAGTCACATCGAGCAGATGAAACAAAAAGCCGTTGCCGCTGGCTACTGAGGAAGTAGCGACGCCAGGCCCAGCCCTGGTACAGCTCTGGCTAATAATTGTGGGGAGTCGAAGTGGAGATCGCACCAGACTGCTACAAGGGCATGGCTCCAATGTTTTTTTTTATTTTTAAAAACAAAGAACAACAAATGTTCTCAAAGAACTTGCGCTGTTTTAATGACACAGTGGAGCACTTTTCTTGAATAATATTTGCCAATGGTAAATTGTTTTTACTCAATTAAATAATCCCATGTGTTAGGCTTTGTGTGCAAACGACTTGTAAATGTTTAAATGCATTGTAGCATAAGTCACCTGCAGCACTCGGATACAAATATCGCTTTCAAGAAAGCCCACGTTTGCTAAACGTTACGAGACATTCACTTGATTGTATCCATTAAATACAGTAAATGGCATCATCCTATGCATTATGTACACCAACACACACGTGTTTCTCGATGGGCACTACGGTGTTGACCCTACAGTGCACATATCATGCAGTGAATACTCTCCCGATGCCTCGACAGTGCTTGTGCTTAACCACAAACATTTATTTAAAAGAACCACGAAACCAAAACACTTCTGCCAGCCTTCATCAGCTGAATGATCCATTTCGAATGTTTGCTCTGTGAGAATGTTAACAGCACCAAATATGAAAATACTGTGTGGTATTCAAACACATTTAAGCAACACTGTAAAACAAATCAAAATATTATTATAGATGTGTCTATGGCTGACTCATTGTCTATTTATCTATATTTACACATTACTTTCTGTCGTAAGGAAAATGTGGCATACCATGCTATGAATGACTTAATACCTACCGCAGTGCCGGATTAAGCCAGTGCGGAGCATGTAGCATATGTTATAAAAAAAAAAAAACGTTCATATAAAAACACTAATTGTTAACTTGAATAGTAAAGTAATTGTATTTTTTCATTTGCTGTACAGCCAGATAATACGACAAATCGCTAACCTTAAACACCCAGTCGGTCATCAAAGTTGAAGGCGGTATAGTATTATAGTAATAAAGCAAGTGCAGAATCACTGAACCGGAATTGATAGCTCGAAAGCATTTAGCGCGGGGCCCTTGAAAGTGCGGGGCCCGTAGCATTTGCTGCTTTTGCTACTTGGATAATCCGGCACTGACCTACCGTACTACTGATACATTGAACGGTAAATATTGGATTCACTTTGCGTGATGAATGTAGTGGTCATGGCTTATTTGTGACCTGCGTGGGGTGGGATGTGCAGGGCTGCACTGACCAGGCTGCCTTTATTGGCTATTTAGGCTGATGTTGGGGGCAGGAAGAGCTCTGTCCTACACCTCGCTTATTCAGTAAGACACGTCAATTGCTGTCAAATAAAATAAACCATCGGCACACTTCCATCTCCCTACCCCGCCCCCCCCCCCCCAAAGGCTGAAGCGATAAACAACACCATTGATTCTGTCAATACGGACAACATGAGCAGCATGCAATGTTGCCGACGATGGGGTCAATTTCCTGCCGCAGAAACTCCCCGTTCTGTCGGTTTCCCATTGACGCAACGAGGGTTGCTCGCCAAAGGCTATCTCCGGTGTCTCTGCGAAGCTCTCGCCCACTGCCTGAAAAGATCAGCTGATTTAACAGCTCATAATTCGTCACTACAAGCAACACCACAGCATCTCGACCAATTAAACGGTAGCAAAGCCAATGTCTTAACAGACGTTGTAAAGCAACTGGGTTCAACACGTACTCTTCACGGTTTATAAGTCGTGCAACTCCATGTGTATGTGGACTTATTGGCGGTACACCGGTGCAGCATAACACACCGGTCCTCATAAAACAGTCTAAAATTTAACTTTTAATCAGAAAATCTGTGTATCAGTCTTTAATTGACTCTGTTGCCAAGTTTGACGCGATCCGAATGTTTATTAAGTTTACCGAAACTTGCTAAAACCAAAAAAAAGTCAATATTGACCCATTGATTTGGGTCCGTGGCACGCGATTTTACGGGCTGACCAGGAGGTTCGAGCACCTGGAGCAACAGCAGCAGCTTGCCTACGTTGCCTTCATTTTCATAGTTTCATTTATTTGGTATAGCCCTGTGAGCCATTCGGCTCTTGAATCGGGTGCAACCGCAACAAACAAAAAAACATGAACAAGAAAACATCTTAAAGTGATTTTGATTTAAAGCTTTCGTGACTGCAGTAATTCATATTCTTAGTTTTTTCGGTAAAGTCACGTTGAAGAGAAACAACAAAATAACAAAATATATATAAAACAATAACAAATTCTCACGACGTTTCGACCATAACTCAAACGGTCATCATCAGGTGTGTCGGTTTGCATAAATTTATTTTGAAAACGGCATATTTATTTATATATATAAAAATAACGTTTGCGTCACGCGCAACGATGGCAGTTTGCCAGGACTAGTCCATCTATTTTTTGAAAAGAGGAGGGGGGAGACGAAATTTGTTTTTATGTATGCTGTCTGAAAGGCACTGTAAGCGTGAACAATCAATCAAGAACTGAAATGATTTATCAAATCTTTCCAATGATTGCTAAGATAGAATCCATCTTCTCGGTTGAAATTGTCTCTGTGTTTGTATATGTGGATAGCCTCATGAACGAATCTCTCATGGAAGCCAGATGGCTTACAAAGAACCTCCGTCTTGGAAAAGTCAATGGCATGTGAGCCTACTGAATTAGAACAATGATCTGCTACGGCCGAGGTGTTGGTCCTACCGTGTTTAAGGTCTGCTTTATGTTCACGAATGCGGTCCGAGATATGGCGTTTGGTTTCTCCAATGTAACTACTACCACAGAGGCAACTTAGTTTGTAGACACCAGGGTATTGTATGTCCGGAATCACATCTTTTACAGACGGAACCAGATCACGGATTTTATGTAATGTGTTGAAACGGACCTGGATCTTGTGTTTATTCAAGATTTTGGAGATCTTTTTTGTGATCCCAGCAATGTAGGGTAAAGTGATGGTTTTGAAAGGCTCCTCAAGAGGGTTCTTCTTCATGGTTTGAGTGATAGCTTTGCGGATTGTATAGTCGGAGTAACCATTAGCCCTAAGAGCTTGGTGTACGTGCTTGAGTTCACTGCTTATGTGTTCCTGGTCGGATATGCATTGGGCTCTATGATACAGAGTCTTGATGAGAGAATTCTTCTGTGATGGATGGTGGTGGGAATCCGGTTTCAGATAAGCATCCGAATGGGTAGCTTTCCTGTAGACAGAGTGGCTCATTGAACCATCAGGTCTCTTTTTAATTAGGACATCAAAAAAGGTATCTTGCCATCTATTTCGACTTCCATGGTAAATCTGATGGCTGGGTGTATGGAATTGATGTGGTCGAAGAATTTGTCTAGAGCAGGCCGGCCATGTGGCCAGATGACAAAAGTGTCATCCACGTACCTCTTCCATAAGGTTGGGCGCAGAGTGGCAGTCTGGATGGCGTCAGTCTCAAATTTCTCCATGAAAATGTTAGCTATAACTGGAGAAAGGGGGGAGCCCATTGGGGTGCCCTCAGTTTGTTTGTAGAAAGTTCCATTCCAAGTGAAGTATGTATTGGTTAAACAGTGTCTCACCAGGGGGGGTACCTCAGTGTTTAGTCCTTGATGAACCAAGTCTTCAATGATTGCAATGGTGTCAGGTACAGGAACCTTGGTGAATAAGGAAACTACATCAAAACTGACAAGCAGGTCGTCTGGGGACAGGGAAATACCCTTGATTGTTGATACCAGGTGAGTAGAATTTTGTACCGCAGAGGTGGTCTTTCCAGTGAAAGGACGCAGGATTTCAGACAAAAAACGAGCTAGTTTGTAGGTGGGGGAGCTGATAGTAGAGACTATGGGACGAAGAGGTGTATCAACTTTATGTATTTTTGGTAAGCCGTATAATCTTGGTGGCCTGGCAGCAGAAGGTTTCAACGAAAACTGTTTAGATTGATCAATTAATGCGGTTGAATCAGAAATTATTTTGTTGGTTTGTGTGACGAGGCTGTTGGTGGGATCTCTTTTTATTTTTGTATAACTACCATCGT